AAAAAAAACATAATATACAAAGTAAATTAGATTAAGAGATAAAGAAAATTATGTTTTTGTTGTACAATTCAATCCAAAATAAAACAAAAATGTTTAGTATTTCATAGTTGGCTGTGTTTTGGTTGTATAACACCTTTTTTTAATTTATCTAGTAACGGTGGAGATTTTTTAAGTCTGGGTTGGCTTTTTTGAGTTCTTAAAATTAATTTTGTGTTATACAATAGAAATTAAATCTTTTTTTATTTTTTAAATCATTTTATTTTATAAAATATATTTAAATTTAAAATCTTTTAATGAAAAGGAAATTATCACATAAATTATTTAATTCATTAATAGATTTTCTAAAATATAAAATACTACTCCCTTTATTCTATTTTAAAATCAACATTTTTTTTTCAACTTTCCAATTTTGGAATAAACAAAGTACTAATATAATCTTTTAGGGGTATGTTAATACTGCTAATAAAAAAAAGGGCGTGTTAATACTTTTATAGCTGCTGGTAAATCATATTTACAAATTTAAATATTCATGTAAAATCATTAACAATTTTTTTTTTATTAGCCTCTTAGTTCCAGTAACCACTGGATTATGACTAATCGGAAACGACCCATAAATTATATTTGGACTTGGTATTGACAATTTTTTTTAAAAAAAAAAAATTAAAGATATATTGTGTACAATTGAGATGGTGACTGGGCTTGCTTCTACCAGCCCGCCCTTATCCTTGGGCTAGATCCATTATCTGTCCATGAACTCAATCTTCTGAAGTTCGGTTGGAATAGGAAACCTAACCTCGTACTGGAGTGAAACTACACATTGTTGAGAGAACAAAGGTGTGATTAACCAAATAGACAAACAACAGTGCCTATGATTTGGAGTTATTATTTTTGGGGATTAAAGGGCAAGTTAAGGATACAATTAGTGTACTTTTTTTTATATTAATTAGTACAAAAAAAATAAAAATTGAAATTTATTTGAGTAATTATTTAATTAAAATAATTTACATGATATTAATTATAAAATTAATGGTAATTTTTATATTTTTAATATTAATTAATATAAAAATATAATAATTATATTTTTAACTTGTGTTTAAAAAATATAAAAATTGATATTAATTTTAATATAGATGCCAAATTGATAAATTTAATTAGATAATTGATATATTAAATATTATTTTTTTAAAATAAATATTTATGACAAAATATATGAATTTATCTATCATGTGTCTTTAAATACAAGATAAGAAATGCACCAAGCCCTTTGAGCCAAGTGGCAATAGCCACCTCACGGTGCACTCTCCCCTCCCCCTGGGTTGGGGTTCGACCCAGCCCCTTGTCAACCTGTTCAAAAAAAAAAATAATACAAGATAAGAAATAATAACTGTGTGATTGTTACTTTTTTCTATCATAAAAAAATAAAGTTGACTTTTGTTTTAATTACAAATATCATGTGTTACTTCCTTATTTATTCATTCTAAAATTAAAATTAAAACTTATTTTTTAATTTAAAATTTCATATTTTTTAAGGAAAAAAGTGACAATTATTAATTAATAATTGTTTCTTATCATATGCCCCTTAAGATATTGGATAAACAAACCCAAAGTATATTTATTATACCCTTAATAAGTTAGAAAAACCCACAATTAATTAATATTAGCTTTATTTAAAAGGAAAACAGAGAAATATTGAAAATTGAGGAGAAAAATTCAAGAAAGGGACTCCAATGAAGAAATTATGAGATGAGGGATTTAAATTGCAAAAAAGAACAAGGAGGGGTATTCAAACCCAAACTGGGCCCAAATTTTCTACAACCCACAAACCAAATCCAAAACCGGCCTCCTAAATTCAGCCCAAATAAAATCCATTTCGGTCTAAGTCATATTAAATTTCGTGTCAACACCTTAAGTTTAGAACTGAACCCAACCCACTAGGGGTAGATTGGATTGAGTAAGATCTTCGAGTCAGGTCTAATTTTGCCGGCTCAATGCCATCGTTTCTTCTCCAATGACAGTGAATATTGGCGAAATATGGTTTCTCTTACAAAACTCAAAATCAATTTGCCAAAAAATTGATCCTCATCTTCTCATGTTCAACGTAGATCTGAGTACCGTCCATGTTCCCCTTCTACTTCTAGAATACCTTCTTGACCTTCAATTTCTCTGCCTTCAAGTTTCTCATGTTTTCCCTCATAACAGTTCGATAATCAGGTATCGATCAACCCATGAGTGCTGTTCTAGACTTCTAGTTATTTATTATGTTTGGCAAGCCTGCCTCTTCATAGATAGATTGGAGGTGCTAAAGCCTCTATCAATTAAGAGAAAAGACAGGCCGTGAAAATGTAACCAAAGAGAAACAAGAAAAGAAAAAATGACATATAGATTATATCCATGAGTTCAATACTGCCCAAATGAAACTGCTACACACACAACTCACTCTTCACAGCCAAGAAATTTTAAAATAACTTTCTGGTTACATAGATGGAAATTTCGATTCCCTCTAATGTTCCATGCGAATAATGCATCTCAGACCCTGGCCAGACAGCATGTACTCGAATGCTTTGTTGATCTCCGAGAAAGGAACAGAGTGAGTTATAAACATCTCCAGTTTCTCCAGTTCTAGCCCCTATAGGAATCAACAAGGGTGAAGTAATTATTTCTGGGATTTTGAAAGTTCGGGAGGGTTGGACTAAACATGATTAAAGAAGGAAAGATTTTATGAACTCACCTTGTTCATGTATTGTTCAACAACTTTCGGAATATCAGTGCGGGGTTTGTAGTTGCCAAAGAAGGTACCTTTGAGAGTCCTCTCATTCAGGAAATTCACTGGACTTGTTTTGAACGAATCATCTCTGCTCGGGACACCAACAAGCACTGCAACACCCCAACCCTGAGAAGTACCAAAAGTTAGTTACAAAAGGCAACAGGAACGGAGACATACCTTCTCTTTTAAGTAGATAAACTTTGAAGTTACTTACATCATGGACACATTCAAATGCTGAAATCATAGCCTGAATGCTTCCAGTGCATTCGACACTGCGATCCACACCTCCATTTGTCATCTCAGCAATCACCTGGTGGCAAAACAGCATATGTCAATTGCAGCAAATATAGGCAGCCACCAAGGTGGCAGCTACCACTAATACTTCAATGCTTAATTATAACTATAATGAAATGTCAAGCATGCAGAATCTATAACATAATCACCAACCTGTTGAACAGGTTTGTCATGATCTTTAGGATTCACAAACTCTGTTACACCAAACTTCTTGGCTGCCAAGCCAACAGATTAAACATATGTGAAACAATACACATTAGCAACAAACGATTTAAAATTAAGAGGATAGAGAACTTCTAATGTAATTGTACATTTCTGTACATAAGATCAAGTTAGCATTACCCTCCTCAAATCGGCTGGCATTCAGATCTACACCAATGATCCTTGAAGCCCCAGAAAACCGTGCCCCTTCAGCAGCCTAAACATCACAAGAGAAATCAGATTTACAAAGATTCTCTAGCACACTCAAGAAAAACAGATAAGAATTGCTTACAGCAAGACCAACAGCACCCAGTCCAAAAATGGCAACTGAATGACCCTTTTTGGGTTTAGCAACATTCACAGTGGCACCAAAGCCTTCAAGCAAACACAAAATCATTAGTTGAATGGAAATTTCATATTCACCTAGTTATCATTTATCGGCAAAAAGGAAAATATTGTTAACAGAAAAGCATTGTCCCCTTACCTGTGGATATCCCACAACTGAGGACACAAACTTTGTCAAGAGGAGCAGCTGGATTGATCTTTGCAACCTGTCCAACATGGACAACAGTGTATTCACTGAAAGTTGAAGTGCCGAGAAAGTGATGGATTGGCTGCCCATCGATAGAGAACCTTGATTTGCCATCATTAATCATACTACCCCTATCAGTATTGATCCTAAGGAGATCACACATGTTGCTTTCTTCTGACTTGCAGTGGGGGCACTCCTTGCATTCCCCTGTGAATATAGGGAGAACATGATCACCTGGTTGGAGATCAGTTACACCCTCACCCACACTCTCCACGATCCTATGAACCAGAAAATTCAAGCAAACAAAATAAGGAATAAGAATTTGATCAACACCAAAAGCAGCTAAGCTCATAAGTAATATGTCCAATCAGTTGATTATAACAGAACAGCCTAACATGGACATTATGTAGACGTGTTTATTCAGTTTCTACATTTGTATAAGAGGCCTTTTAGATATTTACATACCCTCCAGCTTCATGACCAAGAATGCGAGGAAATAGGGGGTTTTGTCCCTGCAAACCAAAGAAATCATGTCAGTGCCGATTGCAACAGAAGAGAGACACAGCTCCAGGGTAATAGCTTAAGCGAACACAGAACAGAAACCAGATAAAAATACCAAATTTTGGAATCAGCAGTGATCAAAGCAATGAAGGTGCAGGACATTTATCCTCATATTAGATGGAAATGCAATCAAAGAGAGAATCAACATTTCTGAACATTTAACAATCAGAAACCCCTCAAAGTAATTGCAACCAATGAACTTCTACCATGCTTCGTCCAAGAAATGTTGCTTAAGTTTAGTCAAATTTTATCTTCTTCCCCAACAGAAACACATAACATATAGGAAAACATATTTTTAGCAATCAATAATCATCAGGGACAATTGTAAAGAAGACATGAAAGTTTGTTACTTTGGCCTCCCAGAAGTAGACATCAGTGTGGCACAAAGAGGTGTAGAGTATCTTCACACGGACTTCATTCCTCTGCGGTGGTGCCACCTCCACTTCTTCAATCACAAGTGGCTTCCCTGCCTCCCATGCAACAGCAGCTGCAGGTAAAATGTATCAAATCATTATTACAAGATGGCTAAATCAGATCAAAGTTACACAAAATGGACCCATTTGAAAACGACCAGTGCCCAAGATTTTCAGCTGCCATGGATAAAGAATATGAAAGAATAAAAAAAAGGCCAGGCAAGACTTTTTCCAGAGACAAGTAAACAATAAAATAAGCAACAGATGATACATGATATTAAAAAAAAAAAGGAGGGAGAGTTGAAGAACCGATTTAGAAACAGAATAAAAAAAAAAGTTTGAAACTTGATAAAGAAATTGAGACTAAGAATCGAAACCCATAAAGCGAACACAAGGGAGAGGGGGAAAAAAGATTACCCTTGCAACGGATGACCTGACCGGCGGTGCTCATAGTTGATGATGGTTTGTTGATAGCTTCTGTAATGCGCTCTGCTCCATGCAGTGAGTGTGGGGAGAGAATTGTAGAGGGTGAACTTTCAATCCCCCCTCCTCCTGCTCCATCACCAACCTTTCAGAATCATGCCACATGATTTTTAGCAGATTGTGCCAACTTAACACACGAAAATGAATAGGAGATAATAGTTTCACCCAGGAAAAATGAAAAAAAAAAAAGCTTACATAGAGTTCAGTTTTTTCAGCTTCCACATACTCATCTTTAACATAATCATCCTCCTCAATTGATGCATCTATACCTATGACAAAACTTTACTCATTAATCATCAAAAGTAATCAGGAAATCCATTTTCCTTTTTCTCTTTCAATTCTCATATCTTCCTGCCCACATAAACCAGTATATATGTTCCAAAAAAAAAATAATAATTTCAAAAGAGAAACAAATATCAATAGAAATGGGGCAAATGTGTTATTGGCAAAATACCGTCTTTCGAGTCATCAAACAGAAGCTGCTCTTCTTCGTCGTCTTCTTCATCGCCCATTGACACGTCTTCAACTATGGATGGTTTGAGAACTGGCTGAGATCTTGGGTCTCTCTTCCGAGCATGAATTGCTGTTGCAGGAGATCTCTTGGGGATGTTAGCAAATGGGTATCTCAAAAATGGAAAAGAAAATCTGTGAAGTGAGATAGGTGGTTTGCAGAAGCTGCCAGTAGTAGTGAGTTCTGATGATACTGAAATTGAATACATTTTTATGTTTTGGACACCGAATTCCCCTGTTGGCGTAGGGTTATTGCTTTTCGCTGCTTATTGGGGATGAACGGGAATATTTATTCAATATAATATTTTGCGGATCCCCATGGATTGAACTGTATGCTGTGCATCTTTATTCGATGGAGGGTCTCTCCTTTTTTTTTTTTTTTTTTTTTTTTTTTGGTAAAAGAGAGAAATGCATTAAAGAGCACACAGATAATACACTATGGCCTGGGAAAACAGGTTCCCACCATGTCAGCCTCATAATAAAAAAGAAATCCCGGAGGACAACAGTCAAAAGAAACAAAATCCACAGATTGTGAATATGCCACCGCAGTCAGAGTATCTGCACACTGATTAGTTTTCCTGTGTACATGTTGAATAGAAGTCCGAGGGATTCTAGACAAAATGTCCCTGCAATCCAAAATAAAGGAGTAAAAAGGATAATGTGATGAAATACAACAGAATAATAACTATGCAGCGACCAAAGAGTCAATTTCAACAATTAAGTTTTGGATGTTCCTCTGATACGCCAGAAGAAGGCCCTCCCTAATCCCCCAGAGTTCAGCACGCAGGTTTGAAGTATAACCAATCTTGCGGGCAAACCCAGAGATCCATCTGCCCATGTGTTCTCTAATGACTAACGGCAGGGGCAGGGCCTGGGTTTCCATGAGCAGATCCATCTGTTTTGAGTCTCTCCATTCAACGTTTTTTTTTTTTTTTTTAAATTTACAAAGTCTATCATTAGTAAGTTAGATTAGTTAATTGTTAGAAATTGAAGATTCGACTTTTAGACGAAACTGAATGTTACCACTTCCTCAATGAGGAGCGCAGCACAACTAATGAATCACATTGTGGAGTTACTCCATTCAACTTTTGGTTACTTTGGTATGATATTCTGAATTTAAATAACATAATATATATGAGTGTATTTAAATAATATAATATATCAATAAATGAGATTAAGAAAATAAAAAAATTATGTTTTATTGTATAGTTCAATCCAAAATAAAACAAAAATGTTTAGTGTTTTGTAGTTGACTGTATTTTGAAATGGGTTATTACTAC